TCACAAGACTATGTACGACGCAACCAAATCCCACCCGAAAAGCTTAATTGCCAAAAAGACAACGACAAGTCAACGAATCATCGGGATTTGGAATAGACATATGACGATGATAAGAATAATTGAAAATTGTATGTAACTCATCGCGATTCCAAATTCTCGGAAACTAATACCAAAGAATTGCTTGACGAGCTAGCTTAGGATTAAATGAACATATATATACTTCACTTTTAATTCTTTCATATTTAAATAATATTCTCTATTTCCTTAATATGAAAGAATTAAAAGTGATTAAACAAATAAATAAAAATAATTAAGTGGGAAATAATACATGAAATATTACGTAATATTTAACGAATGTAAAAATGAAAAGCGTTGAAAAGAATAATTGGGAAAAAGACTAATAAAATAATAAATTAGTGATCAGGAGGTAAAAATGAAAAGCGTTGGAAAGAATATATTAAACTACATATAAATTTTGTAACAGAATTTAGAATACAGAACGGCAAGATTTTAATTGCTCTACCCAATTACAAAGATTTAAATACTTTCAATATACAAAATCACGTATACCAATGCTCACAACCTCCCGTGTATTAATAATTATTTAACATAAAGCCGGATTAAACTTGAATGAGCCTTGGAATTTTGCTGAGAACAGTCCCTTGTATGTTATCATATACAGATATTAAAAAAACAATCATACAAATATGGCGATAGTAACCTGGTTGGATTGATTAGTTAATTATTATTATGCAAATGCAAGTGCCTTATCATGTGGATATGAGTGTCTCATTAATTAAATGCGATAACATAAAATAAATTGAGATAATTATGTCCACATATACGATTCAGTGATACGTTTATCCTAGTCAATATTCATTGAACCCATGATCAATGGAACTAGGTATAATTATGTCTTTCTAAACAACCTTTTATATTATATATACCGCGCTATGTTGAACATTTTGATTATGATTGTTTACAACCAGCTGCTAAATATTTGGAATGATGGGCGGTGTCTGTCGTGCAGTGCCGTAGCCAGGATTTTATGGAAGGGATGCAATTTTTTTTAAAGTAAATATATCTTATATGAAAAATTGTTAATTATTTGTAAAGATTCAACGTCTTTTATAATAGAATAAAACTTTTAAAATATGTATTATTCATATAACCTACCAAAGACTTATTGTCAATATGTCCTACCAAGTACTAGTAATCATTCAAATTTGTGTCATTAAAATCTGTCAATTGATCATGGAATTTTTTTTTTTTTTGTCAAAAGATATCATATATTGATCAAATCAGAAGATAGTTACACCCTAGAACCCAGCCAGGTCTGGAAATCAAAAAAAGACTCATGGTCGGGTACAAGAGGGCTTTCCTAGCTACCAAATGAGCTACCCTATTGTAGTCGACGACCGACGGTTGAAATGGGATGGTAGAGCCTAGCGACTTTGCAACCATGTTTGAGGATAGTTAGATACTAACCCCAATAAATTGGCATAGTGGTATGGGTGAAAACTTGACGCGGAAGACCCACTGACCCGACCCGTCCCGTCCCTAAGGGTCGGGACTGGTCAGTTTGTCTACAGGGACAGATTAAGGACGGGTCATTTGTTGACCCTGTAAGGTTCAGGACGGGTAGGGACAACTTAGGGGCGGGTCACGTTTTGACCCTGTGACCCTTAGCAACAACAAATATCTCACGCCACATTGAACCTTTTCGTAAAGTTTAAAAGTTTAGGTACTAACTTGTAAAAATAAAAAAATATTTGGTACCAAAATGTAATTTTACCATTAAAATTATCGACTTATTTGTAAAAAAAATAATTTAAGGTACTAAATTGTAAGAAAAATAATTTTGGGTACCAAAACATAATTTGTAAAAAAGTAGTGTGTTGATTAGAGTCGACCCACTGGCCCGTCCCATCCCTTGAGGGTCATACAGGGTCAAAAAGGAGACAGGGACGAGACGAGTCAGTTATACATCTTGACCCTTCAGGGACGAGACATGCAAACTTTCAGCCCTATACAGTGGTATTATAAGAGAATGAGAGTTGTCACACATTGAAGCTAACAATTACCCAAAAATTGAAGATTTAAAGATTGAAATATTCGTGTGTGGTTTTGATTTGATTTCTCCGATTAAGATAATTTAAATATATGATCTTAATGGTAGTTTGCTATTAGAAATACTAGTAATAAGAATACGTTTTTTATTGTAAATAAACTAATATAACCTTAATCTTGTCATTGTTCCAATTTAAGGGTGTCCACTAGAACACCCTATCAAGGCACTGCCTCGGCCCTTGCTGTCTCTTTGTCTTTGGGCCTCCAATATATTGTTTTCAATCAAACCGATTTATGTCATTGCGCCGATTTAGCAAGTGGAATGGTATGACTAGTTGTATAACTGGTGTGCGCCGGTTATTGCCAGTTTGACAAAATATGTAAAAATGTGAAAACATTAACATTCAATATGTTTAATCATATATAAAACATATTTTTGGACAATTTACTTACAATCCAACAAATAACATCAACTTTTACCTTTCAAATTGAAAAAAAAAATTCTTTAATAATTAAATCCACTAAACGACGTCATTTTGCTTTGAATTCGTAAGTCGATCATGTCTGACATACCGATAATATCATGTTGATTTCATGTCCAGTACAAGTTGAACCAGATTCAATCGGTCGAAATACCACGGGCATGACTAGTTGACAACTATGTTTTGAACACACAGAGAAATGGCAACAACCCCAAAACAACACAAAAAAAAAAGGCAGAAATGGAAACCGAGATGCCCAAGTAGAAGAACCCATTGACCTATATAATACATGGATCTAGCACTCGATCGAACTTCTGCAATTATCACAGGAAATTTTTTTCAAAATCCTTTCTTGGATCTGCTTGTTTGATCTTCGTTCCACCACTCAAAATCCAAACAAATATTACCATTCCAAATGTTGAGAGATAATTCCTACTGGCTGTATTGGGCCCTATCTATCTAGAATTCTACATCGTCTCGTTGCCGGTTACCGCCAACTAAACACCAAGTGGCCGGCATGCTCTTTTTGATCTGCAAAAACCCTACTCCACGTTCAGTGGGAGCCACAGCAGCCAATGAAACTGCCTAATTCTTTACAGAAGAGAACAAATGCATCCGATCCACGTCAGTCGAATCTACCAAGTTTCTCTCCCCCATCGCTGACGAAGAAAACTAAGCGACTACTGGCTGGTGGGTTTTCTAGAGAAAAAAATAAAAGGAGGCTAAAACCCGTGAATCGTGATGACTCACTTCCCTTCTCTTGTAGAAGAAGTTGTTGGATTATACGTAGTTGATCTTCACAGTACTACACCTAAAAGTCAAACTTATGTTGATTTAACCAACCACTGCTTTCATTTAATTTGATTATTATAAATACATTGATGGGTTGAAGTGGAGATAAGGCGGCCTAAGGTGAGGTTGAAGTGAATATTTTAGCAAGTTAAAATTGTGAGTAAGCGAGTAACTCAAATAAATAGAGCGAGAAACTTACCATAATTAAGGAGAAGGGTAAATGTAGGGATGGCAATTTGAACCCGCCCCGTTGGGTTTTACCCGACCTGACTCGCGATGGGGCAGGTATTACTCGACCCACAGTAGCGTGGGGCGGGGCATGGGTACCAACTTCCGACCCGCCCTGCCCTGTTCTTGGCCCATTCTAAGTCAATTTCTTATGTCATCCATGCATATATCTCCTAATTTTACTTTCTAGGTCAAGATTAACTGGTTAGACTTGATCTTTCAACTAAATAGACTCAATTAACCATTATATTATCACTATTATCCATTCATGAAGTCTTTTCCCATTCGTTTTATCGTAAAAAATTAAAATTTTGCTTGTATTTTTTCCAAATAGCATATAAGGATGGGTCGACCTGCCCCGCCCCGCAGCCGCGCGGATATTACCCGCCCCGACTCGTAATAACATGGGGCGGGGCATGAGTATTGAGGTACCCGTCCCGCCCCGACCCATTGCCATCACTAGGTAAATGGCGTTTACAAATTAACAAACATATCTCTACTAATTTTTTTACAAATATTATATCATTTCATTATTAAAACGTAACAAGTGCACTCCTCCTTCTAGTTATCCGTTAATTTGTAGTTTAATAGGCAGAAAAATGTCCCAAATACCTTCATTTAATCTCACTTTAGGTTTTATCATTTTTTTATCCCAAATTACAACCCAATTAAAAGTAAATCTCACCCAAACCCGATCCCCCCCCCTATTCTAGCTCTCCATCCTTTCTCCTTTCTTCCTCCTCATTATCCGCACCGTCAGCTGGAGCAGACAGCAGCGGGTGAGACAGCTACGGGCTGGAGTAGATAAAAAGCACCCAGCTCAATAGTAAGATTAGGGATCCTAATGTAATTAACCATTCCTCTAGTTACTTGTTGAACGGGGATGCAGGTCTATTCATTGTAAGGGTTTAGCTCAATCCATCAATGTATTGCCCCTAATTTAACACTGATTTTGTTTTAATTACACTTGTATAGTCTAGTCACAACTTTCATGTTTGTAACAGTTATAGCTGTCACAAATGTGAAAGTTATGATTACCGTGAAAATGTATTATTGTCTAATTGTGATGTTTTAATAAATACTCAATAGGCGCATAAGAATGAGGAAATCAAATTGGTAAGCCACGGTCTTATTGATGACCATTCAACCTCATAGTTACATGCTATGTACTTCCACCTGCTTATTATCCTTTTGTCAGTTTGTGTGAGTTATTTTCGGTCGGGGGGGGGGGGGGGGGGGGGGGGGGGGGGGGTGTTTTCCCTTGGGGTTTCTCCAACCAACTAAGCAGTTTTTTAGACTAATGTCGGCGTCCTGAAAACAACAAACCCATGACGGAAGATATAGAATTCATAGCATTCCAGAAAAGAAAGCAAAGAAGAAGAAAAAATATATATATATATAAAGAAACACTGTAAACCTAAAAAGCCCAAACAGACCAACCAAGAAAAGGGCAGAATTGGAAACCTAATCGAAGGCCCCATCCATCGCCTATATAAACACGGCCACTTTAGCTCTCTCTCTCTCCCTCTCCCTCTCCCTCTCCCTCTCTCAGTTAGTAATAGTAATATACATTAATCCAATTCCGCTGCTCATTCATTACATCACCATAATCTCCCGATCGATATGCCTTCCCCACTAATTCCACTGCTCCTGTTTCTCTTCCTCCGCCTCCATCCCATCGCCGTCTGCGGCGCAAAACCCCGCCACGGCTTCGGGCATTTGGGCCGGACCCATTCCCGACCCCACGCCAAACCTCCACTCCCCAACTCTCCCGCCGTTCCGCCGCCTCCTCCGGCGACTCCGTGGCGCCACCACGTGTTCCTCAACTTCCGGGGACCCGACGTCCGCCACGCCTTCTCCGACCACCTCTACTACGCCCTCATCCGGAAAGGGATCAAGGCCTTCCGCGACGACCGCGACCTCCCACGCGGCGAGAACGTAACGGAGGCCATCCCACGCGCCATCGAGGACTCCAAGCTCTCCATCGTCGTGCTCTCCAGAGGCTACGCGTCGTCGGAGTACTGCTTGGACGAGCTGGTCAAGATCATGCTGACCATGAAGGAGAAAGGACACCAGCCTTTCCCGGTCTTCTACAAACTGTCCCCCAACGACGTCGTACATCACCAGTCGTCGGGGTGTTACAAGGAAGACTTCGACCGTCACAAGAAGGTCTATAGCTACGAGAGGGTGAAGAGCTGGAGCCACGCGCTCACTTCCATTGCCGATATCTCCGGCTGGGTTCTCCACAGTGAGAGGTAACTTTCGTCGGATCGATATGATGATCATAAATTGTGCACAATCTGAAACAATTTTTCTACTGTTTGTTTGTTTGTTTTGGGGGGTGAAGATCGGAAGCGGAAATGGTGGAGAACATAGCGAAGAACATGATGTGGAAGGTCCACGAGATGGGTAGGGCTTCCGACATGGCGAGTGGGGCGAGTCAGTCGATTCGGCGATTCGAAACGGGGAAGCAGCAGCAGCAGCAATTTACGAATCTGTTCATATGCGAGAATGACGGGGACGATGGTGATGGTGATGGTGTGGTTAGGATCTGTGGTAGGACAAATAACGGAGAAAGGAATGTCAGTTTCCAAAAATTTGTTGTTTTTGACCATTCCACTACTGCTGCTGCTGCTGAAAACCTAGGGTCTCGTCCGCCTCCAAACCCAGCAGGCGACACCAGTACTACGCCTTCCCCTTCTTCTGTAAGTATATAATAATAATAATAATAATAATAATTATTATTATTATTATTATTATTATAATATGCTACAAAATAGTACAATTAATTCAAGCCCACAACAAAACATCAGCTAGCTTGGGTTTTCTAGTATGATTTTGATTCTAGCTAGTAGATCTATCTGTGCATATAGATATAGTGGCGGATGATGACATTTCTTTTTGGGCCTCATTATTACATATATGCAATATCGATCTATATTCCCTGCTCGTACGTACACTACTCAAGTACATACATACATATATATGATTTTAGGTACCGACCATGGAGACTAGTGCCGGCGGGAGCTCGCACACCGATGAAGTTAAAAATGGTTCTTCCTGCCACGGTGATAAGGTATATTACCATTAAACACGATTCACATAATCCACTTAGATTCCCCCCTTTGAAATTTCAATCCCGCCAATTTTCTGATGATCAGTACTATATATATATGTACTTAATTACTTTCACAGCAAGAAAACGTCACCGAAGAACACGATCAACGTTATCAAGCTCCGGCTGCTTCAAAAGGGGCCTCCCGAGAAGAAGAAGATGGCGATGATCAGAAGAGGAGGTTGTGGATGTCCAGAACCTGCACCTACGACAGAAACAAAAACAACCATAATCATCATCATAAACAAGAAGAAGCAGACCAACAGCAACTGAAATTCATCAAGCCAGAAATCTCACCGCAAGGCAAGAAGACGGCCAGAATCCCCAGGACAGTCGCCCAAGAAGAAATCAAGAAATTCTGGGACTTCTCCTTGATCGGGCAGCAGCTATCCGACACCTCTCCTCATCATCATCATCACCAAAACACAACCACCCTCCTCAACGCAGCCAACAAGCTGTGGAACATATCGTCGTCAAACAAAGGAAGTTGGATCGAGGTGAAGCAAGTGGGAACGGCCCGAAACGGGCTCTACATCTTCACCTTCTCCAGCCAAAACATACGCGACCGCGTGGTGGAGTCTTCCCCGTGGTGCATCGCCAACGCAACGTTCGTGATGCGGAAGTGGCAGCCCAACCTGCAGCTCGCGAGCCTGGCGAGGGAGCGCTCGTCGGCGATCCCGGTTTGGGTGAGGCTGGTCGGGGTGCCGGTGGAGTACATGAACGCCAAGGGGCTGAGCTACATCGCGAGTGTGCTTGGGAAACCGCTCTACATGGACCGGGCCACCGCTAGCCGGTCTCAGCTGGCGTTTGCCAAGGTGTGTGTGGAGATGAGGCTGAGTGAAAAGGGGGTGTCGACCATAGTTGTGGCGCTTGGTGTTGGTGATGATGAGAAGGATGGTGGTGGTAATGGTGTGGTGGTGGTTGTTGTTCGAGTGATCTACCAATGGAGGCATTGCATGTGTATATCTTGCCAGCCTACTACTGCCGAGACGACTTGACTTAGAATTAATGTGAGAGAGAGAGATAGAGACGCAAAATATTATAAGAAGACGAAGAGTGAAGACCCAAGACTTTTTCGGAATGGCCAGGTCGTCGTGCGAGTTCATGTTCACCAACCCTTCACCATTAGGCTTTTTCCACTTCAATTACCTACATACATCCGGGAAGAACACGACCCCAATTACAATACCTAGCTAGGGGAAGCTTCCTGTTGAGTTCATTGGCTTATGTATTAATTAATGGGGGAATAATTGTGGGGTTTTTGTTATTGAACGTTTTGAACTGTTTGTATTATTAATTACATGGTAGTTGCTCTTAAGTGGTGTTGTTGTAACAGTATATCAGAATACATAGATTTTTATGTGATTTAATTAACACGATGTGTTAGCTACATCCAAGGATAGAAAAGAACAGTTTCACTATACTTGAGAAGATACAATTGAAAATACTGGGAAAGTATATATAGAACTTTCTCCCGACGGTCTAAATCAATTATGTAACATGCAAAAGGAAATGTTACATACCAGACCCAAAATTGTAAAACAAACATTTATAAGCTCATATAGCTCTTGGACCCGACTAACTGACCGGACAACAAAACCTCGTGTCTTCTAATTGATGGCAAATAATATGACTTCAAGTTATAGCAAAAAAATTTTGCTTGTAATCGAGTTTTTGTTATAATGGTTTTGACTGCTGAGTGCCCGCTGGCTGGTGGCCCGGTTTGCATGAAAAAATTATAAATGAATAAATTGCCGAGGTATCTCCATTTCATTGCTTTGTGTCGGCCCTTATTGATGGCGCAAATGGACGCTAGCAATTGCCTTTGCTTAATTCAAATGCATATTTGGTGACTGAAGGCGCTAGCACTAGAAGAAAATTTATATATAGCCACTATGATAAATCTAGAAAACGTAAACGAGACACACGAGATTTACGTGGTATTCTCGATCGATTGAATGACTCAGACTAATCCACAGGAGAGGTCACCCTCTACAGCTCTTGATATTATTGACTGATTATATTGTTAAATCGGCTCATGGCCTATTGCTTTCTTTATATATGCGCTAGTTTGATGACCTAGCTCTTTACTAGTCATAAATGGAGCTACTGATGGACTAGGGCAAGATTTCCTTCTTTTGGAAGTAGAGACTCCAACAACGTGGGACCACTTCGGTTGGGACTGAATCTCTATGATGGGATGGGCAGCATGCGAGGACACGTTGGGCTCGCCATGGCCCTGCTCCAATGCGCCCCCGCAAGCTGAATGGTGTGGATCTCGAACGTTCAGCTTGGAGAGAAGAAAATGAAACTGATCCGCACCTAAGCCCTTTGTGAACATATCAACAACCTGCAGATGAGAACTAACTTTGAGAGGATGAATGTCACCTGAAACAAACCGTTCACGAACAAAGTAGCAGTCCATTTCGACGTGCTTGGTTCGTTCATGAAACACGGGGTTAGCCGCTATATGAAGCGCTGCCTGATTATCACAATATAAGGGTGTGGGCTTCGAATGAGGGACACCGAGCTCGTGCAACAGCCATCGCAACCATAGAAGTTCACTCACTGTGCTGGCCATAGCACGATATTCAGCTTCTGCAGACGAGCGTGCGACGACTTTCTAACGCTTCGTGCGCCAAGAAATAGGAGTTGAACCAAGAGAAATAAAGAACCCACTAGTAGAGCGTCGAGTGGTTTGACAACCACCCCAATCCGCATCGCAATATGCTGACAACTCAAGAGAATTATCCGCCGGGAAATAGAGACCCCTGACCAGACGTAATATTCTCATCGCGGCATCCATGTGTGCCTGTGTGGGAGCATGAACGAACCGACTCAAAATTTTGACGCCATACTTGATGTCTGGTCGGGACATATTGAGATAGAGAAGACGACCCATCAACCAATGGACTAGACGACCCTGGTTGGGTCAACTGGTGATTCTGTTCCACGGGAAAAGCACTTGGCCGAGACCCAAGAATTCCTGCTTCGGCCAGAATATCCAAGACATACTTACGCTGGCTAGGGACGATGCCACGGGGAGACCGAGCAACCTCCAATCCTAGGAAATAGCGTAGAACCCCAAGGTCATTGATACTGAACTTCTGATCTATAAAATACTTGACATGATCAATGAATTCCATGTTGTTGCCTACAAGAATAACGTCATCAACGTAGATCTAAGCAGTAACAAATACCTCGCCCTTGTGATAAATGAAGAGAGAATGATCAGCAGGCGATGCATCCAAGATCACCAAGAGACTCGGTAAATTTTTCATACCAATTTCCCGAGGCTTGACGTAAACCATAAATGGATTTATGGAGCCGACAAACACACGAATCACTTGCGGCTGCAAATCCAGCCGGAACCTTCATGTAAACCTCTTCCAACAAATCACCATGCAGGAAGGCATTGTTAACGTCAAGCTGGTGTATGAATCATCCCTGACTGACTGCGGCGACTAAGAGGCAACGGACTGTGACGAGCTTAGCCACGGGTGCAAATGTGTCGTGAAAGTCAATGCCCTCTATCTGCGTATAACCTTTCACAACAAGACGGGCCTTGTATCGTTCAACCGTCCCATCGGGACGATACTTGACCTTGAATACCCACTTCGAACCAATGCAGCGTTTGCCAGAAGGGAGATCAACTAAGCTTCATGTCCCAGTGGCAATGAAAGCTACAATCTCTTTCGCCATGGCCTCTCTCCGGCACGCATGAAGAACTGCCTCCTTGATGCTAGTAGGTTCGGGGATCCGATCCACAGAGGCTAAAAAGGCACGATATGGAGGGATCACGCGTGCATAAGAAACACGGTGAGATAGCGGGTACCTGACATGAGAAGCTGAGATCAGTCTCATAGATGTCCACCAAATGCTTCGGCGGACGACGCTCACGATCACCCCGTCGCGGGACAGGCAGAGGAGAAGGCGGAGCTGAGGATGACGAAGGAGATGAGGCTGACTGAGTAATTAAGTGATCAACAACTGGAGAACTAGGAACCTCAACTCCAGAGCCAGTTAGAGGCGACGAAGGTGAAGTCGCGGCAGGTGATGAAGGAGAGGCCGCAGCAGGGACAGCTACATCAAGAGATGATGTAGGACGTTCCTCAAGGGGAGTGGGACTCGTGGTCACCCCTTCGGTGGGAACAAGGTCATCAACAAGATTAGACGGCGGCACCCAATGGAATTCTCTAGGATTCGCCTGAAAAGAGAAGTAAGTCTCATGACAAATGACATCACAAGAAACCAATACCTTACGAGTTGCTAAATCATAGATGCGAGATCCTTTTTGAGTAGCCGCGTAACCAAGAAAGACTCCAGCGCGCCCCCAATCTGTGAATTTATGAAGACTCCAATTATTGTCCTTAGCATAGACCAGACAACCGAACACTCGCAAATGATCATAGGCGGTCGGTCGACCAAACAACACCTCAAATGGTGTTTTGCCTGTCGCAACAGTAGGCAACCGGTTAATGAGATAAGTGGAAGTAAGAACGCACTCACCCCAGAAACGAAGAGGGAGCCCTGCCTGAAAACGAAAAGCACGCGCAGTTTCAAGAATATGATGGTGTTTACGCTCTGCAACACCGTTCTGCTGCGCAGTATAAGTGCAACTAGTTTGCAGAATAATGCATGTTCGCTCATAATAATCTCGTAGCTCATTAGTAGAGAAATCAGGACCATTATCTGCCTGTATACACTAGACCTGGTTACCAAACTGTGTTCCCACCATTTCACAGAACATAGTGATATATCGAGCAACCTCAGATTTAAACTTCAGCAAATAAACTCATACACTGCGACTAAAATCATCCACAATGGTCAAAAAATAATGAGCCGCACTGAGAGACGCTATCTGATATCTGCCCCATATATCCATATGCTCATTACAACTAGAGTCTATTAACCATTCGGAGTCAATGAGAGAAATACCTGCCATGTGAGCCGAAGGGTCAAGGTTTGAAGATGATGACCCGAAAAACTTCTTTAGCTGCTCAAGCTGGACCATGGTGAAGCCGTGAAATGGACTGGCTTCAACATCTGCTTGCGCCGCTTTTGGAGCTCCTTCGACCAAACTACGACGAGGCCTCTCTCCTTTCTCACCTTGCCCAGTTTTGATCCGTGAAGGCCCCCCTATTAAATCAAAACACTTCTCCTTAAAGTGTCCGATTTTTCCAAAGTGTAAGCATTTCAGGTGGCCATCAGGTGTGCGAGGTCTACCAGGGCTACCTCGATCACTATCCAGCTTGGCAGCGTCAAAAGCGGCCGCTTCCGGCAGAGACCTCCTCTTCTGAGTGAGCAATTTTTTGCTTCTCATCGTTAGAGACTATGTTGAATGCTTCCGCCAACGTTGGTGAGGGCTTCATGGCCAAGATTTGGCAATGTACAGTAGCAAAGCTTTCATCCAAACCAATCAAAAAATCAAAAAGCCTTGCACACTCTTCCTTAACTCGTGTCCTCTGCTCCAAACCACAAGTACACTTACCACAAGTGCACGTTTCTGTAGGTGATAGAGAGAAGATACACTAAGTTTCTCCTGCCAAAGTGCACTGATGAGTCTACGCAGCTCGTAGCCTCTTGTTAAACTACCCTGTCCAAACCTTTCTTTGAGATCCACCCAAACATCGTGCGCCATCTTAGCATATCGGACACTAGTTCTGATTTCTTTATCCATCGCAAGACGTAGCCAACCTTTGACAACGACATCGCAGCGATTCCAGACACGTTGCTCAACTTCATTCATTGGCTTCAGTATTGTCCCATCAACGAAACCAAATTTGTTCTTAACTATGAGAGCATCAGTCATATCAACTACCCACTCACCGTAATTAGTAGGAGTAAGAACATCTCCAACGTTAAGCTGTCCTCCGCACTCCGAAGGATGTAAATGATACACCGACATGTGATCGACTTGACCCGAGAGCTCAGATTTGACATATCCGAACTTCATCTCCTCAATAGACTTCGACCCGGAGTCCTCCGACTTGGTTTCATCCGAATCTCCCATGCTACAGACCAATCAGAAACACCACAACGAGCTTATTGAGACCATCGCTCTGATACCATGATAAATCTAGAAAACATAAATGAGACACACGAGATTTACGTGGTATCCTCGGTCGATTGAATGACCGAGACCAATGCAGTCAAAATCTAGATTTCAAGTAAAATCGAAAACTGAGGTAAAATCGAAATCGTAGATTAAAATCGTAAATTCGTAAGATTTTAAGGTTCATATTAAAATAAA